TTTGGGTCCAATGGGTCTAGCCCATTTTGCCTATAACCTCCCTCTCTAAAACACTTGGGTACCCCTTGGGGCACACCCCAAGTATCTCACCCTAAGCCTTATAAACCCTTTCAAAACTTCTCACCAAATCAATGTGGGACAAGCCAATTTATAATCTTAAGGAATTTTCACCATAACCCCATTTCCATGGAGCACACTTTGGCTTCAATTTCCCATTCACTCGGTAATGGTTTTGAGCAACCAAATATACCACGTAAATCACAACGCGGCATAGAACGCGTTACCACTTTGACCCGAGTAAATCGATACTCGGGGCCCACTTAAAAAATAGACCAAACCAAAATTTTTCTACCATTTCCAACATATACAAAGCTACTAATGAGCATTGATGTATAAGAAGACTCACATTGTCAGTACTCTAGTCTGTTCCACAATCTCTATAGTTTAGCGGCTTCCGTTTGAAAGTGTGTGTGGACTTAAAGATGTGCTGTTATAAATAGGAGTGTTTTGGAGCTGCGCAAATCCTATCAAACCCTAGCAATACTCTTCTTAGCACCTTCCATACGAGAAGAAAAGGCAGATCCCGCATAGTAGAGGCAAAAAAGAAAAAAAAAACTCTATTATATTTATATTTAGAGAATCACACTTCGTTATTTTAAAAATAAAGTATGACTAGTTTTTATATTTATTCCATGATTAAAATCCTTACATAAGCGTGACCAATTTACTTCAAACCTCACCTTTGATATTAGCAAGCTCGCATCAAATTAGAGTTTTGAAGTGAGGGCAATTTGTAGATACTTAAATTTTTACGTATCTTGATTACCGTCCAATTAATCAAGACAAATAAATTTTCTTAATTAATTGGTCAAAATTTTTAAATGGATGTAGGTCCTACTAAAATTATGGATCTTAACTCATTTTAAATTACGGGTCACGCCAAAAGAAAAGTGAACCTATTTTGATAATTGAGTCAACCCAAAAGTGTGGGGCCCATAAAAATATTTTATTAGAATTTGGCGAAAAAATTCAAATTTAAATTCAAAATTTCAATACAAATAATTTCTATGATAGGTAAATTGCTTGTTTCTTGAAAATTAGAGTCAATTTTAGAGTTTTCAAAATTAACCCTCCCCTCCTAAGCCTACAAATAGAGGCTCTTATTAGGGAAAAAAGGACACAGCTTTTTTAACTAATAGTCTTGCAAGCTCCTAAGCAGTCTCGAGACTCTGTCAAATTCTTTTCTTAAAATTCTCTCTAAAACTCCTCAAATTCAAAAGAAAGGATTATCAAGCACTCCAAACTTGTGCCAATCCTTTTAAGTTACAAATACAAATTTGGTCTTTGTTTTCAAGAAGATCATTTCAAAACTCGTTCGAGATCAAGCCGTTCAAGCCCTCGATCAAGCCTTTCTTCTCCAAGTTTCTCCATTTGAAGATTTGAAGAAATCCATCAACTTGTTCGATTCAACAACAAGCTTCTGCAGCCGTTGGATTGCAACCTATTTCGGAGATTGAATCAGAGAATTTGTTCTTTTGTAAAAATGCAATTCACAGAGAATTGTACCCATTTATTATAGTCAATAAAATTAATTATTTGTGCATTTATTTCACCTCTTAATTGCAGGATACGAAATTTGTGTTTAGAAATAGTAACCACATTTATCATTCAAAAAATATTTACCAATTTAAGAATTAAATAAGCAAGTGTGGCAAATGACTCATTGCTTGGGTAAGAACCAAGACAATTCTTCAAGAATAAGATTTTTTTTTTTTTTTTTTTTTTTTTTTTTTTTTTTCAAAAAAAAAAAAAAAAAGAATTGTCAAGAATTAATATAAAAATCAATTGGAACTCAGTTTTTAAACTACTTTTAATGTTTAATTCAATATTAACAATTTCAAACTAGTTCATATCCCCATTAAAAAAAAAGAAAAAGAAAAAATGGTTCATATCCATGGATATAATTTAAATATAAAGTTTAAATTTATTATTACCAAATACTTCTACTAATTGACTGATCAATTTTTTAGATAAGATCCAAAATTAGAACTAGATTGTATTCCATAGTTCAGGTTAACTAGATCTTATATAGTTTTTTTTTCATACATAAATATATCTAAATATTCATATAATGGTTTAAAGATAAATATACAAAAATTTACCTAAGTTTAAAAATTAAAATAAATAACAAGTTCGTATTTCTAATTTTTTTTTTTATCAAAAGTACTAATAGATATGTATTTATCATTTTTAAAAATAAATGGGAGTTCAAGGATTGAATGTCGACCAAGACAATTATTTAATGATTAGGTAAGAGTTGCATTGGTATAAAGGTCGTGTAAACCAGCTTCGAAGTTACTTTTAATGTCTACCCCAACTCTTAATTCCAGTAACCAATCATTATCCGTTTTAATATAAGAGTTATATCATAAGATAACTTATAATTCCCCGTATATTGTATTGATCTCACCATGAACTCTCAATTTCCAAAGTAGCAGATGTACCAAATTGGAGTCTTGCATAGGGCATGATTGGTGGTGGAAAGCTTGCCAACATGTGAAAGAAGCGAAAGATTTTCAAATAATCACCAATAATCTCCACAAGAACATTTATTCTCCCTAAACCGATGAAACCGGTTGTTATCCCTCACAATAATTTCTCTGCCAACAATGCCAGAGATGAACTTAATTGCACTATGACAATCTACACAAACCCTAAGATTTTTTGTAATCCTAATAGGGACTCCGGGAGGGATGGAAATTAGTCCGAAGGCAAGGGCAATCTTCTCACTATGGTACCAAACTTCTGTTTCCTTCTCTTCTTCTTCTAAATCATACAAAGCTAATTTGGTGTCGGGTATGTATCCGGCTGCTTTCATCTCGCTCTTAAGCTTAGCTAGCATTGCTTGAATCTCAGAGTTTCTTTCATGAAAGGTGTCTTTTGCTTGGAACACGTGGACTGCATTTTTCACAGAGATCCAACTGCATCCCGCGCCTTTCTTGATGCCAACATCCTTCATCTCCTTTCTCACAAGGTTCGCTTCTTCCCACCTACACTAGTCATGAGTCATGACATGATTACTTAATAAGAAAATGTCAAAGACAAACATGGAACTGTGACAAACTCAAAGATTATAAATATCAAAAGGCAATCACAACAACAAAATCAAAATGTCCATTGTTTATTTGAATCGATTGAAATGTACAAATATTAAAATAGCTGTAGCGAAAATACCTGCCAGCAGCTGCAAACATATTTGAAAGCAGTACATGGTTGCCAGAGTCTTGTGGATCAAGTTCAAATAAATTTTCAGCTGCAACCATCCCCAATTCTGGCTTCCCGTAAACTCTACAAGCCCCAAGAAGCGCCCCCCAAACTGAAACAGTAGGATGAATAGGCATTCCCTTTATAAACTCATATGCTTTCTCTACCTTCCCTGCTCGTGCAAGCATGTCCACGACACAAGCATAATGCTCGACCCCTGGTTCAATCCCATACCTCCCTCTCATCGACTCAAAAATCTCCATTCCCACTTTCACTTCCCCAGCTCTACTACATGTTGATAATATGCATACGAGTGTCACATAATTAGGTACCACCTCACATGTCATTTCTCGGAACAACTCAAGTGCCAAGTCAGCATGCCCATGGTGAGCATACCCACCAAGCAGTGCATTCCAAGTAACCAAATTCCTCTCGGGCGTCTCATGAAATGCTCTCTCACAATCCTCTATACTTCCACATTTTCCATACATGTCAACAAGTGCACTAGCCACAAACACATTCTTTTCAATGCACGCCTTCACAGCAAGTGCGTGCAGTGACCTGCCCAATTCAAGGCCTGCAAGCTCAGCACAAGCACTCAGAACGCTAGAAACCATAAAATCCGTTGGCTCAACGCTTTCTTTCCTTGCTCGCAAGAACACCAAACAGGCCCTCTCTTGCTCATGATTCTGCTCATATGCAGCCACCATCGAACACCACGAAACATCATTACGATAATGAATCCCAGCAAAAATCGACTCAGAGGAAGTAATCTCTCGACATTTCCCATAAAAATCAATCATGCCATTTGCAACCGAGACATCTGCCTCGTATCCATATCGAATCACAAACCCGTGTAACTGCCGCCCCAGCTTCAAATCCAAAGTGTCCGAGCACGCATTGAGAAACCCACAAAAAGTAATCGAATTAGGCTCCCCACCAACACGCCGAAACTCAATAAACGCCGAAACAGCACCCTTCGGCTGCCCGTCAAGCACCGAGTTCGAAATATACGCATTCCAAATCACAACATTTCTCTCAGGCATTTCATCAAACACCTTACAAGCATTCTCTCTAAGACCCGTTTTACAATACATATCAAACACACTACAGCCAACAAAGATATCGTGGATTTGGCCGAGTTTAACCGCTAACCCATGGAGTTGTTTTCCGGTGATCGGCGATTGAAGCGAAGCAGAGGCCTTGAAAGAACAAGGGAAGGTGAAGTCATTGGGTTGTACGCCCTGGCGGCGCATGTTAGAGAAGTGGAGGAGGGCGGGGGAGAAGTGGCCGTTCTGGGCGGCGCCGGAGATGAGGGAAGTCCAGGTGACGACGGAGGGGTTGGGGGTGAGTGAGAGGACGAGTTGGGCTGAGTTGGGTAGGTCGAGTTTGGAGTACATGTTGACGAGGTGGTTGGAGAGGAAGGAAGGGAAGGGGGTCAAGAGGGTTTTGATGATGTGGGCATGGACGGCTCGGCCGGTGATGGAGGAGTGAGTCGACAAGGCCGATTCGAGGAGGGAGGCGAGTGAGTTGGGGGTGAGGAAGGGCATGGTTGCTGGTAGCGATAGACATGACTGCTAGTGTTGCCTTGGTTGCTGCATGGAGAGGAAGGAAGAAGAAAAAGAAGAGCCTAAATTAATGCAGCATTAGAACCTGCTTTTGCATTCATGTAAATACATTTTGTCAACTTTTTAATTTTTATTGTTTTATAAAAAAATTATTCACCTTGTTTGGTTTAACTCAGTTTTTGAAAAATTAATCTTTTTTTTATTTTCTGTATTTTTTGTGCAATAATTTATGATCCATGATTGTTAGGAAAGATGACACGGAGGCAATACAAATGCTTTAGAGCTCCAATGAAAAGTGGGTCCGATGTAATATTTTGGTCTTATTTTTTTTATCAATAATATTTGAGAGTTTTAATACAACTCTAATGATATGGAGAGTAGCCATGTAAAGGTGGAGCCTACACTCCTCTCTCTATTTCTCTCTACTCTCTTTTTTTCACCTCACTAGAGCTCCATTTAAGAGCTCTTATTCTTGGTTTGGCATAACCAAAAAAAGTTAAAAAGTCAAAAAGTCATTATCCTATTTAAGTCACATCATCTTCTTTATGTCACATCACCTCTCTACTACATCACTTTAAACCCAACACATACCCAACTCATATTTCATAAAAAGTCAAAATGTATACTTATTTAGTTTATCTCAAACAATCCCTTAAATTAAAGTTATATTTCATTACTCTATTTTTCATTTTACTAGAGTTCAATTAGAACTCCAATTTTAGAGGATAAATCATAACCCAAGAGACAATGAGAAAAGAGTTGAATATGAAAATGGATGATTAGATGAGTGAAAGCGTAGGAAAGTGGGTGACAAGCATTTTTGTTACTCCTACTCCTATGCTAAACATTCAACCTTCCGAATTTGTCTCCTACCGATCCCAACTTTTCACGCCACTTTATTTTTCTTAACTTTGTACCTTCATTCAAATTTAATGTTTTCCCCTCCCTATCTTTGTCTCTCTAACAAGGGAGGTGGGATTTCAAGAGGAGAGAGAATAGAGAACTAAGAGCTAAAGACAAAAGAATCTCACAAAGAGAAGGAACTTAAATCGATGTGTTTTGAATGGAACCATTTAATACAAGTTCCGTCTCAAGAACACCCTCTTATTCTCTCAAGGCTAAAGCTACCTCTGTTTTCCGAGAGGGAATCTCAATGCACTTGTCTGGATGGAATGGCCTTCAAATGGCCATCCAAAACAAGTGGGGAGGCAATGATTCTCTCAAAAAATTCAACCAACTCACCTCTGATATCCTCTCTTGGTTCTCCCAATCCAAAGGTCTATTCCTGTTCTTGCTTCCTCATAAGCCACCCGCACCAGAGATTCCATTCCATGCGCACCAAAACAATAATGTTTGTTTGTATGGTTTGTAAAGACACTATTCAATTAAAAATACTACCTGCTTAGTCTAGTCTTGAGCTTTCAACCCAAAACTTATTTTATTGGAATTAAAATGATACACAAACTTTTTGAGCAAGGTCACTTGAAATCAATCTTTACCATGTAGAACAACAATAGTTACAGATTTTCATCATGTTATATATGGTAGAAATTATTAAAATTTCATTCAAAATAATGAAATGAAAAGAAATAATATTAAAAGTGTGTATATTGGATTTCTATTTGTTTGATTTCCTTATATTGTATTCTTTTTTTCTTTTTTTAAAAAAACCCATTACAACCATCTATACATATGCTCTCATTGTACAGATTGCTTATTTTGAATACATTATTTGTGTTGGCATCATGTCATCGCTAAAAGGAAAAATTTCCATCACAAATAAGTTACAATGGTAATGCTACTGTCGCAAAAACTTTTTGCAATCCCAATATTTGTGAACCCTTGTTTTGCCATTGCCATGCCATCACAAATATTTTCTTCAACGATTAATAAAGTATTTACGAATACAAAAAATATAAATAAATTAATTAATAATTTGTTTAGTTTTATTATCTTGCATATACTTTTGCTCTTCAACTTTATCAAATATAATGCTACGAAGTGAAATTGAGGCAAGCAAAGTTGTGCACGATAATTTTCATCTTGACTCCTAATCGTATCGTTTTGAAATTGAAACATAACCCCCCCTAAATGTTTTTTTTTATTTGTAGAACAACTTCAGGTAGATCAGTTATATGACAAATCACTTCTCGTTTTGAAATTGAAACAATATTGAGTTACGTTATTTATTACATACATTTATTTTTTTCCTTTTGATTTGTAGAACTCTTTCCTTTTGATTTGTAGAACAACTTCACATAGAAGATTTGGAGAACTTGTTGCACGAGAGCTTGCTACTTACATTCAACACAGATATTGAAGATGGCAGCATTGAGGAAGTATGTTCTCTATTCGAATAGACTATTTTTATTATATTTTTCTTTTCTTTTTCTTTTATTCCCATGACATCGATTTATCATATATTACAATGTTGAGTTCATAATTTGTGATGCTCATGAGCTATTAATATCTCAAACAGGTCGCGGAGCAATTGATGATTATGCATGACGAATTCTTGCAAGGAAGTAGTGCATTAATGAACAAAAGAGTAATTGAAATCAAAAACCTTAGAAGAACAAGTTCGTCTTCATAGTTCACAGGTAATTAATGATGGTTAAACTTGTCATTATGTGTACTCACTTTTCATCCTCACTTGTCCAACATTGTAATAGTCTAAGAATAAACAAGAAACAACTACATATATATATATATATATATGGCTTCTAGCTAAGGGCGAGGCTTGGTACAGCAAGTGTTCGAGAGTTCGGAATACAGAAAGTCTCTCTGTATGTGGGGTTCAGACTACATACATCACTCATTTTACTAGAGATTTCATTAGGAATATGATGCATTACAAGAAATAAATTAATAAATCAAAAAAGAGATCAATGGATTGATAATCATGAACAATCAAATTATGCAAACAAATTTGATTTCAGAAAATTTGAAACTAATAAGGTGATGATGAGCAATAGCAAGATCAAGCATCAAACATACCGGTGAAGCTTTAGAGCAAGAGTACAGCATCTGAAGGGGTTGAATAGAAGCTCACACAAACAGGACAAGCAGATGATACACAACAGTCAATTGCCAGCCAACGAGAAATGGGGTAGGTTGGGATCCAGTGGCCAATGCTGACAGATTTTTTTTTTAGTTCTTGTGAAATAGTCCTTTGAATTGTTACACATTCAAAGGGTTGTATGTACTTTCATCTAATGAGAGTAAGAATTTATATTCTAGCTTTAATTTGATGGCTCTGTAATGAGTACTCAATGTTACAGCTGAGGAACAAGACATTGCATGGTGTTTTGCTAAAGCAAACTTAAAAAGTGAATGGGGCTGTCTATAACTTGCTAGAAGACCAGCTTCTTTTTGCGCTTCTTGGAAAACAAAAACAAAAACAAAAACACATACACAATTTTGTACTTTTTCCAACATCTCTAGAGTAGTAAATCCAAAAACGAAAAACCATAACCACATCCAATTTCATGGTTTTGCCATTGTTCTAGTTTGAGCTAGGGTTGGCATTCAACTTCATCAGAATAACAATAGTACGCACTCAGGACACCAAAAAAAAAAGAGAAAAAAAAAACCTAAAATGAGTTGGGCCATTATATTTTTAAAAATGACTAAGATTGCATATTTAGAAAGTGACTAATAGCCTGATTATATGTTAATTTCACCTTTAAATTCATCATGCATTGCCACTTCAACACGACAATAACAGTAACAATAACAACAACAAAATTAACAATAACAAAAATTTATTAAAATGCTCAACATAATGAAGTACCTGAAAATATATATAATTGCATATCCTCAGAATACTACTCGTACTTGCTCCAAAGGGTTGTATGATAAACTCACAATAAGCCTCTGTCAGCCAATTTAAAATGTCAAGAAAGTTGGAAATTTGGCGATACTTCATGACGGTGCATTCGATGCCTGCGGTGAGATCTCTTGTGGCCACGGCCATGCCTTTTGGGAGATGTGCCTGAAGTATTGGTATGATGAATTTCCTCAGTGCTTGCCGGAATTCCAAAAACACAATCAAGCGGGTTTGTGATTGCATCTGCACTAGAACTCCTCTGCAATAATAAATAGGTCATATAAAAGCAAATGTAAATCTGAGAAATGAGAGATCATTCATTTTCTTCTCCATGCTATTTGAAGAAAAGGCATTGAAATAGTGGGTAACATAAGGCATTGAAATAGACACATTGACACGACAATTTTAAAAAAAGGACATGACACATGGAGAGCACATAGAAAATATAAAGTTTTATATATTAACTAAATATCATATATATGAGTATTTCATTCGAAGATAATTAAATAATGTAGCGTACCACTAATTCCTAAAGTCTAATAAAAGAGGAGATTAATTGCTATAAATCCATATTTTTTTCTTTTATCATTCAATCCTAGGTTATTTTCTTCAAAATTTTATCGTATTTCATATGTCTAAACAGTGGGGATGCGAATCCCCCAAGTGTTTGATATGTGCTCAAGTCTTGAACTTTTTTTAACAAATAATAAGACACATGTGAACGTGGGCTTAACATGTGTTGAGAAGTGTCTAATTAGTGTCGGTGTATACACATCTGACACGTATACATCGTCCAGCTAATTAGTGTCGGTGTGGACACAGTCACATATACATCATCTTCTTAGACATGTCCTTGCTTTGTTGGTTATGACAAATAATGAATAAATGATACATTTACCACCAAAAAATGAATACATACCTAACTCCAGAGAAGAATGGTACTGGCAAACATTGGCTATGTTTGGTTTGCTTTTCAAAAAGGGTTATGCGATTTTCATGTTTTTTGATCTTTAGTGATTTTTATTTTTTTTTTCATACTACACTCTTTATTTATTTATTATTTTTTAGATGCACCTGAAAAGTTTTGAAAGAAAAAATCACTAAAATATGAAAAAGTTCACTAAGGACAAAAAAGAAAACCCTAGAAAACAAAAAAACCAGTACATTTCCTCTTTTTTTTTTTTCTTTTTGCTTTTTTCCTTTCTTTCCTCTTTTTTTTTTTCTCTTTTTTTTTTTTTCTTTCCCTGTTATATATCTTTTGAAGTTAACAAAATATTGAATCATCATTATTTCTTACCATATTCCATCTAAAGCGTTTAAGCCAGTGTCGTAACTAAAAGGTTAAGCAAATATGCTTACAGAAAAGCGCTTGGGCTCGTCAGTATTCTCCATATCAGTTTTCTCCGAATCAGTTTTGTCACTGCAGGAGTCACTGCCATGTGTCCTCTGAGAATTGGCAACATTATCACCAAAGAAATTCCGATAACGCCACCTTATCTTTGGCTGATCCGTGGATGAATCATCAAAAACTTTCTCTGAGTAGAAATGCTTTGAGACAAGCTGCATGGTCCTTGGATCATTCTGATATCTTTTTAATATTCTGCAAAAGAAATAACATTAAAAATAAAAATAAAAATAGAAGAGAGAAAAACAATATATGTGCAGCATTACATAGATATCAATGACGGAACGAAACGGAAACAGCCAGAAAAGTATGGTACCTTGGAGCATAATTTTATTCAAAAGTGGCTTCATTTCTTTCTTTCGATTGTCTTTTTAATTACATGAACACCCTTAAACTATTTTACCCGATGGGTACTATGTTAAAGATTCGTAGCGAAAAATCTGGAATGACTGACTTTCATTCGTTGCAAAAGATGTGGGCTCAATATCGCATCAATTGACAAATTTAACAATTAACATATCATGGATGTGAAGTAGTTCCGGCTGTGATCTTATTACTGACCGAAAACAGGAATAAAAAATATTAGCGATTTGAGTCATTCAATCTATTGCATAACACACCAGAACAGTCGGACACCTTGTATGCTGAATTTTGATCGGCTATACGCACTTATGTCGATTGGTGTTCTTGAGGATCTAATGTTCATTCTCATGTGAAAACATATTACTTAAGTACTCTCAAGGGAAAGGCTTATAACATATTGGCAAATGGGTGAGAACCTACATATTTGCTAACTCCTTCTGCATCCTACTTCCTTCAAGGGTAAGTATATGTCCAATGCAAGAATCTAGCGACCTACCAAATCTCCACAAGCCAAAAGCAACAGCAGTTCCTGCAATTATGTAGAAATAACGAATTGTGCAGGCAAAAAAATAAATAAAAGTAAAAAAATAAAATAAAATGACAAGAATAATGAATCTTCAAAAGTGATCCTGCCAACAACACTAGGATTATCTATACACACATATCAGTGTGCTCAACAATGGAAACCATCATAGCATTTCATGGGACTACTGTTTCAAAGCACATAAGGATCCATTTGTGACCTGCATGTGTAAGCTTGCTATTTAGATATTGCTTCTATTACTCCATGCATGTGCAGATCTATGAGATCAAGTGTACGCATGAAGTTTTTAACTAACTATAGCTCTTAGAACGTTTTCATGCTCATACTTCATTTTCCTAACAAAATCAAACATCTAATGTTTTCAAATTTTGGTGTCAGCTTGATTGATTGGCATTTTAATTGATAAAGTGTACTTATGCCTTTTGTTGAACATCATGATCTCTAGCTGTACCTGTCTTTGATAAGTATGACTTCCTGCTGCATAATGTTGCACCAATCAGAAAGGAAAAGCAAAAAAGAAAGAGAAAATAACATCACACCATATAAAAGGAATCACTAGGTTTTAAACTCTTCCAAAAGGTTTCACTAACGTTGAGCAATTTGATCTCCTCAGTCAAAAGAAAAGTAACACTTCTAATGTCATCAAAACGATCTGAACAAAGTGATCAGTCCGGCAAACCTGACAAGTCTTCCACTTCTGCCTCCAATAAAGAACTAGGGGGGAGAGAGGTGAACGTGGGCTTAACATGTGTTGAGAAGTGTCTAAAGGCAGGGAGATTGATTGATTGATTTATCTCTTACCTGCTGAAAGGTTGATGCGAAATAAATTATTTAGCCTTCTAGTTGCTGCCAAGAGAAGGATTGCAAAAAATAAAAATTATAATTAGTTTAGAGAACTTACTAAAGCTCAGCATAACAAACCGGGAACAAAACAATGATTACAACAATAACACGACCACACACGCATCTACAAAACCATATATTTAACCAATTTAAGTAGCAATACCAGCCAGAAATAACCGTTGATGAATATCATTGGTTACAAAAAAACTCCTATCAAATGCAGCATGAACCCATTCCTCGAGTAAACAACAATAATAATTATAATGATATATAACAAGTCTCACTGATTAGAGACAATCAATAGAGTCTGCTCATCCGTACAAGGGTTTTCTTTTAGAAATATTACAGAAGAAGAAGATGCCTATAATTAAGCCTAACATACATTGAAATTTTGAGTTAGGAAGAAACCTAGCATCCAAATGACATACAGGCTCACAAAACTTACATTTCAGAAACTTAAAAATTAATCATGCTTTAAGAACAAGGAACTAGTGTAATGGTAAGAATTCGGATGAAAATGGACACCTAGTTTAATCCCCATTGGATGGAGGTTTGGGCTAGGTAGATTGGGCATAGAACTAACATTTGGCATATAATTTGCACAGTGGTAGTCCTCAGGTTCAAACCTACAGCCTCCAGATCAGTAGGCCGAGTTTGAACCACTAAGCCATAATGGTAATTGCTGCAGAGTATAAGAAGCTCAAGGAAAGCTAAATTCAAAGAAGTGATGATACTTGGACATTGGCATGATTTCATAAAGAAATTGATAGAAAGCTTCTACAATTACGTTTCTAGTATTATTAGAGTCTTATTTTATTATTGTTATTATGTTTTTTATGATTTTTAAGATTACAGATATTTTGGTAATTTATATTTGCTAACATGGGTGGTATGGGTCACCCCATGAGTCGTCTTGTGTGTCAAGTTATTTAATTAATCTTTATTTTTATTTCTTATTTGGTCTTAAATTAGTTTTAGAAATCAAAAATATTTTAGTAGTTTCCTTTTTTTTGTTCTAGTTGATTTAGGAAGTCTCCTAATCCTATATAAAGTCACGTAATACTTATAATTGATGGAGTTGATATTTTATAAAAAGTTGAGTTCTTTGAAGCTTCTTTATGGATTGTATGATGCAATCAAACCCCAAGTATGATGCCTAAGGAATTCTAGGAGTGATTCCTAGATCCATCTTCTTCTCCCTTCTTAAATTTCAGCACTTTCACAGCCCCAGAACAGCCCTTAAGGCACTGTCCTACATCAGTAATAGCTTGGATGTAGTGTAAAAATGCAAATTTGAGTATGAGGTTAGCAGACAGCCACCTGGCCCACTTCTATGAAATAATCACAGAGGTTAGGTCTATCACCAAACAAGCAGCCCCACCCTCACATAAGAAGGAACATCATTGGGTAACAGCCATCTTCTAGGCAATTGTAAAGGGAGGAAAGGGAAAATTTTAAACAAATAAAAATGAAAAAATGAAAATTAATGTGAACTAATGCATTATCAACAATCTTCACTTTTATAGGTCAAGTTGTATTTTCCATAAAATTTGGAAGAATAATTTCTAATAGCTAAGAACTTGTTGTTGGACTTGTGTCATAAATAAAATGTGAACATATATAAATACACAAGTCATACACATAGGGACGCCCATATACACACACACACACACAGAGAAACATGTTAATGTACATATTTGTACAAGTTTCATACAAATCACACATGAATTCATTTCTCTAACAAGATTATGCATGAATTCAAGAGATAGGATGGCTAAGTCCAATGTGGAGAATGGTGTAACCTATGCCATACATGTTTGCAGCAATTATTTGTTTGTATCTTAAGCCGATTAATAATGCAATTTGATTTCTTTATTTCTATTTTTTCCCCTAATCTATTGGCTATTTCAAGAATTGTTAATAATTTAAAAGAGGGAGAGGGAGAGAGGGAGAGAGGGAGAGAGGGAGAAATATGTTAATGTACATATTTGTACAAGTTTCATACAAATCACACATGAACTCATTTCTCTATCAAGATTATGAGAATATAGCAATACTAAATTACCGTGAATTGAAGAGATAAGATGGCCAAGTCCAATGTGGAGAATGGTGTAACCTATGCCACACATGTTTGCGTCAATTATTTATTTGTATCCTAAACCAATTAATAATGCAATTTAATTACTTTATTTCTATTTTTTCCCATAATATTTTGGCTATTTCAAGAATTGTTAATAATTTAAAGGAAACAAAAATGATGACTTGGCTTCTAAATTTTGATTTGATTCATTAGAAATTACAAATGCTTTCAAACCCTATCATGATTGTGAGAAATTAGGGCTAAATATATTATACGAGCATACGAAAGTACCTAACCAAGTGACACCACCACCACCAGCAGCCCCAATTGTAAAATCCTTAATAGCATTAGATTTGCACATCATAAGAACATTTGCTTCTTGACTCGTAAATTTTACCTGCCCATCCATATCACAATATAAACCCAAATTTGTATATAATATTAACCAAAAATAACTGCTAACAACAATAACAAACCCCGACTAAAATTCAAATAAAAAAGCACACAATGTAGCTCCAGGAGGATCCATTTTCAGCTAGTTTTCTCAACGAATGTTAAAATATAAATCGCAAATTTCACTTTATCCCTTATGGTTTTGCATAACAAATATCATTTAAAAATAAACACATAACTTCTTGTGATTTGTGAACTAAAATAAAAGGCACCGTCAGGCCCATTAATAACTAAAGTAAAAAGACTAAAATACCCTTTATAAATAAGTAACCTCATTGTGCAAACCAAAGACATATTCGTCAATTTTTTGGAAAACAAAATTCACTTAAACCCCGTGCTTTACTACATGTCTGGTTTATCGTGACAATTGAAAATAAGAACATGACCCACCCCTTATGTCCTGGCACTTAATTCATTTTTAGGTAGTGCTGCATAGTAGAGACATTCAATCATGTAGTGGTAAATCATGGACTAGCACACAGGCACATATTCGAACCCACACACATCACACTGGGTACGGTTCACCCAGGCCTAGGAGGTTCGTCCTACCAAACATATGTGCTGTCGCTCGGGTGGTTGGCGGAGTGGAACCTGGGATCTCAAGGCTTATGGCCAAGGCTTTTCATACTTATTATTAACTTGGACGGAATGTCTTATTTCAAAAAACGGAGGTGAAACTGAACACCCAAGAGTTTAGCATTTATTTTTGGCGATTTGGTTTGAAAGAAATGCAACAAATCTGAATCCCTTCTAACTCTTTCAGATTTATCCTAAAAAGTTATTGCATTTATTTCAAAACAAATGCTAAACTCTCTACAATTGAAACTGCGAATCGCAAGAAAATAAAAAGGGGAAACTATATGCAAAAAAAATTGATATTGGCAGCATCGAGCTATGGTTTCATAACTTTGAATCAAATGTAAGTGTGAGTGTGTATATATAATATATCCATAAACAGAATGGGGAAAAAAGCCCTAGAAATACCTGCTTGGATCGGAGAATCTGTTCAAGTTCAAAGAGAGCATCACCCATTTTCCAAAGATTTTGATAGACCCCCCTCTCTCGCTCTCTGATCAGTCACAACAGTGATCGCAGAGTAGAGAGCGATGATAAGATCGGACCTCAAAATTGATTTGAACCCGGAATCATCTGGATACCCGTATTTAGGCCCGATTGGAGTGACTTTCTAATGATTTTTTTTATTAACATATGAGATAACAAATTAGCAATAGGGAGTTTTCTTTCATAACATATGAGATAACAAATTAGCAATAGGGAGTTTTCTTTCATAAATTCTATTTTTAACCGTTTTATATCATAAAATTTAAATTATTTTTGCTTATTTTATTAGATCATTTTCAGTGTAGTAAGACTAAAATATCATCCCTCCATTTCTCCTGCGCACACTCCATTTTGAAAACAAACCATTCATATTCTATCTTTTCACTCCACAAAACACTGATTTCCTAAAAAATATTCATTGTTGGCCCCAAAAAACTCTCAAACCGTAACCCTAGATCCACATTGCCTCACCACCGTCATCCTCCACCGCCCACTGTCGTCTGCCACTACTATTCCACTTCATCTCACCGCTACGAAAGTTTGCATCGGAAAGAGGGTGGTTCGTTCTTCTGTATTTCCCGTCGGTCGACTAGGTGTGGTCTGTCAATTTCCATACCCACCTACAATGAGGAGCAAAAGTAAGCACCATCATTCCACCATCTGTTTTTCAGTCAATGATAACATAATGTAATCACCAATGTATATATTTATAATGCCCTATTATTATTGTTATTTTTGGATTTGATTTTGTAATGAACTCCCTATTTTTACTCTTTGTCCATCTTGGTGATGTTAATTTTTTTGTTGAACATGAATAATATTAAGAAGCAAATGTACAATTTATATTCCTTTTCACCCTCTGTTTTTCAGTCAATGATGATAACATAATGTAATCACCAATGTATGTATTTACATTGGATTTAATTTTGTAATGAACTCTCTAATTTCACTCTTTGTCCATGTTGGTAATTTTGATTTTTTTTTGTTGAATATGAATAACATTAAGAAACAAATCTACATTTTACATTTATTTCCACCTCTCTGTTTTTCAGTCAATGATAACATAATGTAATCACCAATATATATATTTACATTACCCTATTATTATTATTGTTTTTGGATTTAATTTTCACTCATTGTCCATGTTGTTGATGTTGATTTTTTTTGTTAAATATTACACTCATTTGTTATTAATGTTTTTTGTGGTTGTGATTTGGTAATGAACTCTTTGATTTTTTCCCTCTATCAATATTGGTATTGTTGATTATTAACGTCCATAGAACCTCCAATCTTCACCCAAAAATATAATGGAATATGATGTAAATATTCACATTGTGACATCAATGGCAATATTCACATTATGAACATCAATGGCAATATTCACATTATGGTTGTCAATCCTCTTTTGGGTCAATGTGAATTCCATTATATATAATGTCAATATTTATATCAGATTGTTAAATATTAGTAATGACTTGTTTGTCTTAAATTGTCATGTTTTATTGTTTTGTAATACACTCCTTCTCTCCTCCCTTGTATCAATGTCAGACTTGTTGGTGTTGTTGGTTTTTGATGGTCATGAAATAATTATAGTCCAAACTTTGGATGGTTGCCAACCCTATTTTGGTTACATGTGAATTCTTGTAGGCATGTTGTAAATAATAATGTCATATTGTTTCACTAGTTATTAATTAACATCAATGTCAATATGCACATTCTGAACAGAATATCAATATTCACTTTGTGACATTAATGGCAATATTCACATTATGAACATAATGTTAATATTCACCTTCTGACATCAATGGAATATGATGTAAATATTTGCGAAGCTGTTGGTATTATTGCTTGTTGATGGTTATGAAAAATTAGAGCCCATAATCTTTGATGGTTGTCAATCCTCTTTTGGTTCAATATTATACATAATGTCAATATTTGCATCAGATTGTCAAATATTGATAATGACTTATTTGTCTTAAATTATCATGTGTTATTATTTTGTAAAACACTCATTATCTCTTCCCTTGCGTTAATGTCAAACTTGTTGGTGTTATTGGTTGTTGATGGTCATGAAATAATTATAGACCAAACTTTGGATGATTGTTAACCCTATTTTGGTTACATATGAATTCTTGTAGGCATATTGTAAATAATAACATCTTATTGTGTCACTTGTTATTGAGTGACATCAATGTCAATATGCATATTTTGAACATAATGTTAATATTCACATTGTAACATTCTAAACAAAATCAATGATTACATTCTAAACATAATGTTAATATTCGCAATGTAACATTCTGAACACAATTTTAATATTTACATTCTGAATATAATGTTAATATTCACGTTGTAACATTCACGTTGAATATTCACACCATATATTTGGCTGTGAACATTCACAGTCAAATATATAATATAATGATGCGAAGATTAATATCATGTATACATCGTGCTAGTTTAATAGTTGTAATATGTTATTATTCCATATTTCATCTGTTATTTTCCTCTCATTTTTTTTGTTGTTATCCATGTTGGAGTTGTTGATTATGATCAAATGATTTGAACTCTCAAAATTTTGTTCATTTTTCAGACACATGAACTAATGACATGATATATGATCCATGTGAATGTCCTCACCATTTATTTAATTTTTATTGTGTTATTCTACAGTGTACAGTGTTCAAGTGACACCATGGTTTTGCTCAATGCAACCATGGTCACATCATTCAATTATTCACAGCACATATAGTTTGCACTTGTTATGATTTAACCATTAACAGTAAATTTATTTCTAATTGAACAAACAGATGTTGCTCATAGATTTCATGGCTAAAGAAAAAAAGAACAGTTCCACGTTAAAGACAAACTTGAACAAATAGCCAACCCCCCGAAAGTGAACATAAAAAAGGTCAACTATCGATCTAACATCATTGGGTTAGTGAAACTGATGACGAGCACCAAATTCTCGAACCCTCAGCTGGATTGTTTAAAGGAAACGTCATTTTGGCAGTTGTTTGATGCGTTGAGGATCAGTAAAGTTAACCTCAACAAATGCATGAAGTTTAACAATGTCATCGTATGTGTGCTAGAGACGTACAAGGCATCAAAAGACACATTTTACATTGGCGAGAAAAATATGAATATGAATTTCACATCATTCGCGATTTTGTAAATATTAGAATACATTGGACAAAAGAACTATAATTAATTATTTTGATTGTGCTTAATAAGATATAATGATATGTTGTCATAATAGAAAATCAATGTTAATATTCATATTGGTTTATGTTGTCTTATAATTACGTACACATAACCATTGGCATAATGTAACTAAATTAATTTATTTGATGTTTTATTCGTGATATTAACATTTACATCAATAATCTAATTGTGCATAATGTACATTTCATATTTGTGTACACACATAAATGATGGTTTGTGGTTAATGCAATACTGATGTAGTCATATTTTTAGAGATTAAAAAATCGATGTGAACTTTCACATTGTTGTCAGCTACTTTACAATTGTGTATACATAATCATTGGTTTAATGTGATATGGGCAATGCAATTTTGATGTGAACTTTAATATCATCATTCCATATTAGTAATTAATACTTTGAAACCACAGTGCCTTTCTCTCTATTCTAGAATTCATGTGGACTTTCACATTCGTATATTTTAGTGTGAATAGGGGTGAAAGAATAACCTGAAGGACCGACTGAACCGAACGATTTTCGGTCGGTGTTTTAAGTTTTCAATCGTTCGGTTCGGTTCGGTTTATGTTTTTCTGTACATTCGGTTCGGTTTACGGTTTTTAATTTTTTGAACCGAACCGCATCGAACCGAACCGACTTATATAATATTAATAGGCCCAAAATGTGAGGCCCCAAACCTATGTAGGAATTACATGGCCTGAGCCCAAATTTTATGCAAAATGGATAGAAATATAGGCCCAAAATGTGAGGCCCAACTAGGAAAAAAAAAAGGCCAAAAAATCGAAAAATCGAAAAAATCGCACCGCACCGTAATAAACCGAACCGCGCCGGTTTATGTCATTTTTCTGGACGGTTCGGTTCACAAATATGAAAAACCGAAATGATCGGTTCGGTGCAAAACTAGTGAAAAAACCGACCGAACCGAACCGATTTTCACCCCTAAGTGTGAATATTCACATCATGTTTGTATTCAAAATGAAAGTTGAGGCTTGTGGTTGTGTAATTTGATGCAATATTGATGTGAACTTTAACATCACCTTGTCACAGTGGTAATGAACACAGCGAAAACATATTCATCATTTAATATTATATGGATGTGTGACTAATATTAACACCAATTGACAACACAATGACAAATTTTCAATTCAAATTAATGTGAATGTTAACACTGATTAATAATATTAATATTTACATCATTTTTATATCAGACACATTACCAATCTCAAAAAATCATTGCTACATTGAAATCCAATAACAAAAAATCAAAATCAATGACAATAATAGAATCATGTTCACTAACCCAAGCAAATATCACCGGAGATGTGAATATTCATATGAATGTGGATATAAAAACAAAAGTAATATGAACAAAAATAATGTGAATATTCACATGAATGTGTTTAATATTCACATGATAAATTTTTAATTCAAATTAATATGAATATTAACACTGATTAATGATATGAACATTTAAATCATTGTTATACCAGACACATTACCAATCTCAAAAAATCATTACTACATTGAAATCCAATAACAAAAAATCAAAATCAATGACAATAACAAAATCATGTTCACTAACCAAGCAAATATCACTGGAGATGTTGTTTCCAATGGGAACAACTTTTTTTGCTGAATTTCTCATTTGAACATATAATCAAACATTTGGTAGGCAATAATTTTAACAATTGTGAAAAAGAAGAACATCATCCGAAAGAAGAACAATATGAAATGTGAACATTCACACTAATTAATAGAAAAACCAGAAACAGAGCACAAACTCCTCTATCTCTTCTTTCCCTTTGATTCAATCCAGTCAAATGTGGGTTTCAATCAATTGACCGACACAAGTTTGGAAGCCATCTCATCTGTTCTTTCGATTTAAATCCTCCTATTTTCCTTTGATTTCCTGTTGAAATAGTAACTATGACCAAAAAAAAAAAACAGAGCACAAACTCTGAGTTGTCATCTTCTTTCCTACAGAAATGAAATTTTACCACAACGAAACACTACCACAAACTCTGTGTCGTCGTCTTCTCTTCTATAGGAACGAAACCCTACCATAACAAAAACAGAGGGAAATATGTATATCATTCTTGAATGTAATATATATCAATAATAGATATAAGGGTATGATAGTCTAACAAAAAATATAAATCAGGAAAAAATGACCTTATGGAATAAAAGTATAAACATATAGGGCTAACTAGGTTATAACTTTCCTTTGTGGACTTAATGGAATAGAACATCTCTAAATTGGATTTATCAATAAAAAACCCTTAAAAGTATATATATTTTTATTTTTTATAAAAAAAAATGTGCCAAAAAAATTAAATGGGAAGAAATTTGTAAATTTTTCTGTATGAATTAATTTTTTTTTCTTTTTTTACCTTCTAACTTTTAGAGAAATTACAAAATAACTATAGGGTTTGATCATTGTAAAAAAATTAACTTTAAATTTTAATTTTTTTAAATTTAAATCTTAACATTTTGGTTTGTCCTACACTTGTTTGAGAAGTAGTTTTGGTCTAAAATAACCATATAAAATAAAATATGTTATTTTAGTCAAATAAGATAAAATGTCACACCAAACCCATAATCATTTCATTTTTCTTTCACAAAAGTCCAAAAAGCCTCCCAACTTTTTAGCGTCAAGCTAAAATAGTCAAAAAATAAAAGCCAAAAAGCTAACTCACATCCCAA